GGAGAGGGAGGGAGGGAGGGAGGGGGAGAGAGAGAGAGAATAAGTGAGAGAGCAAGCTGCCAGGTCCAAGATTTGAACCATGCTTGGCCACATGGGAGTTCAGTACCTAAACCACCATGCCACTTGCCAGCCCCAATTACAGAAAATAAATAACCTTCCAGTTTGGTTTGTACCTATGGCTTTAAAACCATACTTGAATTTCAAGTTGTTTTAAAAATCCTGTGGTGGGGAGCCAGCAGATGGCCTACTGATTAAGGAGCTGGACTCCCACATGGTCGAACATGGTTCGAGTCCCTCACGTAGTGGCTTGAAACTTGCCAGGCACGAATATATGTGTGCCCAAAATCCCAGGAGGAGAATGAAGAGACTGTGGTGTGGCCATTCCCCCGGGGGGTGATTTCTCACTTTCTCTGTCTCCATCTTTCTGGTAAGCAAATATGCCCTACAGTAAAAATTTCTCTTAAAAAAAAAAAAAAAAATCCTGGGTTCCAGTAGGTTATGTGGTGGTTAAGGACTCTGAATTCCCAAATGGCTGACCACAGTTCGAGTCCTGGACCTGGCAGCTTGCTTTCTCACTTTCCCTCTCTTTCTGTCCCTCTCTGGTCAAATTTAAATAAATAAATAAATGAAAGAAAGAAAGAAAAGAGAAAAAGAAAAAATAAAATAATTCTAAAAAAAAAAAAAAAATCTGTTGGTGGGAGACTGTCTATTCAGTCAAATTATTCTTTCCAGTGCAAAAACAAAAGATATCTGAAAAATTATTATTAACTGTTTTCCTAAGTATTGACCAAGGAAGGTTATATTGGGAGTCAACATAACTACTCTGTAAATAGTGTATATTATCTATTTTGAAGACACAGCTAAGTTAAATTTTATTCAGAGTTGCATGAAACAGGTAAACCATCTTTTTTATTTGGAGAGTTTTTTTGCTATAGTATGTGCGCTCGCCAGAAAGACAGAGAGAGCAGAGACAGAAAGCGAGAAATCACCCCCGGGGGGGAGAGGGGGATGGCCACACCACAATCCCTTCTCCTCCATTCTCCTCTCAGGATATTGGGCATGCCTGCACATGTGCCTAGTGTGAGTTTAAGCCACTGGGTCTGGGACTTGAACCTCGGTCGACTACATGGGAGTCCAGTGACATAGCCATTACGCCATCTGCTGGTCCTGGTAAAGCATCTTAACTTTGCTTCTAAATTATGTTCAGGATAACTTTTTCTTTTTTCTTTTTCTTTTTATTTTTTAAACAGTTTGCTATAGGCCATATGTGCTCACAAGTGAGAGAAAAAGGAGAGAAAATGAGAAATCACCCCTAGGGAGAAGGCCACACTGTAATTCTTTCTCCTTCATTCTCTTGAGATTTGGGGTACACATATGCACCTGGCATTTTTTTTTTCCTTTTAATTAAAAAAAATTTTTTTAAGTTTGCTATAGTGCATATGTACTTAGATGTACTTAGCAGTGGCGGGGAGAAAAGAGAGAGAGAGGAAAAGGAGAGAGAAAGATAAAGTGAGAAATCATCCCTCTGTGACAATAGCCAAGCCACAATCCTTCTCCTCCATTCTCCTCTCAGGATTTTGGGCAATGTAGGTCCACATACCTAGTGTGCTTCAAGTCACTGGGTCTGGGAATCGAACCGCTCAGTCACTCACGTAGGATTTAGCCACCTTAACCTCCAAGCCACCAGTTGACCCCACTCTTATTTTCTTCCTTTTTAATTGCCAGGAAGCACAAGCACTCACCAGAAGGAGACAGAAAGTATCCCCCAGCAGGGTGTGGTCATGTCCCAATAACTTCTCCATTTTTCTATTCTGTTGGTATTTGGGGCATGTACACACACGTCTGGCCTGTTTTTCAAGCTACCACGGCCAGAATTCAAACTGTGGCTGACCATGTGGACTGTGGCTCCCTTAACCATTAGGCTATGGGGCTGGCCCAAGGGTGTTAGTTTGAATGGAGCTGGGTGGGAATTGAGAATATCCTTGGTGTGTTGTAACCTCTAGATTTCAACAGTTTCCTTCTGTGAATGAATTTCACTTTACTCCAGCACAGTTATTCAGGGTAAAACCAGTAACAATTTTACAGATTAAATAGCCAATATATTAAAAAGATCTTGCGAGTAGGATGGAAGGAAGAAGAGGTTTTAAGTAGGAAATACTTATTCCTATTGGGATATGGCCCTTACTAGATACAAAATAAAAGTTTAAGCCAGCCTGTGGCATGGTGTGGTTAAGATGGCTAGGTCCCACATGGCAGACTGTGCAGCTCAGGTCCTGGCCCTTGAAGTTTGAAAAACATGTATAATGTGTTTGAGTCCGTGTCCAAAATCATAATGGAGAATTGCAGCATGACCATCTCCCATGTGGGGTGCTTTCTCACTCCTTTCTCCCCAAAATGTACAGACATATATAGGTTAATTGGTTACTATTGCTGATGAGTCTACATGGTGTGTAGTTTTTTGTTTAAGATTCATTTGACTCTCATTCTTCAAATATTACAATTTATAAAACTTCGAAATTTCTTTTCTTTTATTTTTTAAGAGGGATTTTTGCTATAGGGCACATGTGCTTGCCAGAGAGGGACAGAAAGCAAGAAATCATCTCCCAGGGGGGATGACCACACTACAATCCCTTCTCCTCCAGTCTCTTCTAGGGATTTTGGGCATGCCCGCACATGCACCTAACATGAGTTTTTTGTTTGTTTGTTTTTTAAAGAATTATTTTATTTAACTTTATTGATTTATTTTAATTTGACCAGAGAGAGAAAGAGAGAGAGAAAAGGTGAGAAAGCAAGCTGCCAGGTCCGGGACTTGAACTGCAGTCGGTCATGTGGGAGTCCAGCACCTTTAACCACTACGCCACTTGCTGGCCCCATACCTGGCACCAGGTTTGGGAATCAAACTGCAGCCCACTATGTGGGAGTCCTGTGACATAACCATTATGACGTCATCTGTTGGTCTCAAACTTGGAAATTTCACAGAACTATAAACTCTGGTTGATTTTCGTGGAGGGTGGTGGACTAGCTATCAGAAGAACAAGGAAAAAGAAGGAAACCTCTCTTCTTTATTTTTAGTTTTTGGTATGCAGTGCATGTGTTTCAGACAGGGAGAGAGAGAGAGAAATCACCCCTGGGGAGATGGCCATGCCATAATCCCTTCTTCATTCTTCTCTCAGGATTTCGGGCACAAACACACATGCACCTGGCATGTTTTTCAAGTCACTGTGTTCGGAACTGGAAAGTTTAGGTGGTCATGTGAGACATACCTGCCTACACCTCTATGCCTTCAAACTTTTTCTTTTTCCCTTTTTTAAAAAAAATTTTATTTAATTTTATTCATTCATTCACTCATTCATTTTTTTTAAAAAATTTGACCAGAGAGAGAGAGACACAGAGAGAGAGATGGAAAATGAGAAAGCAAGACACCAGGTCCGGGACACGAACCATGGTCAGCCATGTGAGAGTATCCATCCAGCACCTTAACCACCATGCCACCTACTAATCCCCAACACATCTTTTCTCTTTCCTAAATTTTTAGAGTCGGGACCAGCAGATGACATGGTGGTTACATCACTGGACTTCCATGTAGTTGACCATGGTTCGAGTCCCAGATCCAGCAGCTTGAAACTCATGCCAGGAATGTGTGAGTGCACCTGCTGGCCCCCTGAAACCTTTTTCTTTATAAGGCACCTTTATATTTTTAAATCATGTATGAATCACACTTAGAACAAATTAAGACTGCAAAACTGTATTACTTAGAACAAAGAGAAGCCAATACGTTAGCAAACTGACATGTAGAAAACTGTATCAGAATCAAGGGCCAGCAGGTGGCATGGTGGCTAACGGTGCTAGACTACCACATGGCCAACCACGGTTCAAGTCCTGGACCTGGTAGCTTGCTTTCTCACTTTCCATCTCTCTCACTCTCTCTCATTCATTCTATACCTCTCTGATCAAATTAAAATAAATACATTGAATTAATTTTAAAAAAAGAAAAAAAAAACTGTATCAGAATCAAACATTTGGGCACATTTAAAAGAAGATTGATTCTGGGGCCAGCAGGTGATGTGCTGCTTGAGGGCACTGGACTCCCATATGGCTGATAAAGGTTCAGGTCCCAGATTGGGCAGCTTGTTTCCTCACCTCCCCACACACTCTATCCCTCTCTGGTCAAATTAAAATAAATAAATAAATAAAATTAAATGGGGAAAAAAAAAAAAAGAGATTGATTCTTATTTATTAGCACATCCCACAATTAAAAGTTTTGAGGATTTTTCAAAATTTTGTATTATGACAAGAAATACATTAGCAGGGTTGGCAGGCAGTGTGGTGATTAAGACGTTGGACTTCCACAGTCAACTGCAGTTCAAGTCCTGGACCTGATGACTTGCGTTCTCACTTTCTCTTTCTCCCTCTTTCTATTTCTCACTCTGTCTCTCTCTGTTCAAATTAAAATAAATAAATAAATAAATAAACAAAGTTAAATAAAATAATTCTTTGCGGGAAAAAAAAAGAAATACATAAGCAACAATCTTCAGTGACAGCTACTCCACATTAAAGCCAACTAAAGATGTTAAAAATGAGAAGAAAAATGGCCACCAGGTGGCGTGGTGATTAAGGCACTGGACTCTCACATGGCTAACTGAAGTTTGAGCCCCAGATCTGGTGGCTTGCTTTTTTGCTTTCTCATTTTTAACTTTCTCTCTTGCTTTCTTGAGAACACAACACACCCTATAGCAAATTAAAAAATAATAAATAAAAATAAATAAAGAATTCTTTGAAAAATAAGAAAAAAAAAGTTTACTCTATTTCTTTATGATCAGACATTTTCCTGCCTTTTTATTTTTTTCCCTCCCCAAGAAGCTTAAGTTAAAGGTACCTTCAAACTCTTAGGTTGTTGTCGAACTTCCATGACATGCTTTCGCCTTAGTTCTCTTTCTCTTCGCTTATTATATTCCAGCTGGTTAGTGAGTTCAGTTTGATGCTGCAATCTGATCAACTCACAGCGCATCTTCTGAATTGTGTTGAGGTGGCGGAACTCCAGTTCCTGCATGGATTCATGCTGTCGCAGTAGCATGGCGTGCTCCAAATCCTTCTGAGTTTGTCTTTTATTTAATTCCTAATCCATAACACAAAAGACAAAAGTATAATTTATTATTGCACAATGCCAGAAAAAATTGTAAAAAATGGAATAACTAGGAAACAGATGCGATGCAATTAACTCTCTGATTGAATAATGGCTACAATATAATATTAGGGTTCTATGACTTATTTTTATGTATTCACTTACTACTTATTCACACCCCCCCCCAAGTTTTTGTGATAGGGTGTGGGCAATTGCTGGAGAGAAGAGAGACAGTGAAATGAAAAATGATAAATCACCCCCTACGACAGATGGCCATGCCACAATCCCTTCTCTTCCTGGGTTTCTGCGCATATACACACACATGCCTGGAATGATTTTCAAGCCACGAAGTCCAGGACTCAAACCACAGTTGACCATGTGAAAGTCCAGTGCCTTAGCCACCACACCACCTGTTGGCCTCTGTTGTTGTTATTTTTTTTAAGAGATAAGATCTCATATTGCCCATGATGGCCTTGAATTTGTAATCCCTATTAAGCTTCCTGCCTCCACCTCTCAAGTAACTGAGACTACAGGCATGTGCCACTATACTTGGCTCCTTATTTACACTATTCTATCAGCATAAACTTAAGACATTATCCAATTTACCTTAAGAGACTTAACATCCTTTTCTTTGTTTCCTAATTTTGTATTTTAAGAGGGCTCCTAAGTCATCCTTTCAATCTTTCTAGAGTACACTATTCAATTCTATCACATGTAGTCTTCTTTGTTTAGTGTAGTGATTAAGACATGGACTCTAAAGCCAGACTGACTACATTCTAAATTCTGGAGCTGCTACTTATGCAGTGAGTCCTTGGGCTAAACTCTCTGGGCTTCAGTTACATCACCTCTCAAATAAAGATAATACAGCTACATCACAGATTTAACGTGAAGATGGAATGAGTTCATAAATGGAAAGTTTTCAGAATAATACCTAGCACATGATGCTCAATAAATATGTTTTTACTAAGTTATTTTCTTTAAAAACAGAAAATACATACATACATAATATGAAAGTCAACCTTGCCCAGTTTGATCCACAAACCTGCCCTGCAAAAGATTATACTTGTATATGTTTCTCAACCTTTCCCATACTTCCTGTGACATATCTATTATATGAAACCAGTTTTAAGAACTGAGTACTGGGACTAGCAGTTAGTGTAATGGCATAGTGTATGTCGCTGGACTCCCACGTAGTCGACTGTGGTTCGAGTTTCGGACCCAGTGGCTTAAATTCACGCTGGGCGCGTGTGCGTGCATGCCCAAGATCCCGAGAGGAGAATGGAGGAGAAGGGATTGCGGTTGGTCATCCTCCCTGGGGGATGATTTCTCGCTTTTTGTCTCTCTCTGTCTCTCTGTCTGGAGAGCACACGCGCCCTACAGCAAAAACCTCTCCAAAAAAAAAAAAAAAAGAACTGAGTATACTAAGGGGTAGGCAGGTGGCAAGGTGGTTAAAGGCACTGGACTTCCACATGGCTGACTGCAGTTCGAGTCCTAGACCTGGTGGCTTGCTTTCTCTCTCTCTCTCACTCACTCACTCTGTCCCTCTCTGGTTGAATGAAAATAAACAAAGTTAAATAAGATAATTCTTAAAACAAACAAACAAACAAACAAACAAAACACTGAGGGGGAACCAGCAGGTGGCATGATGGTTAAGGCGCTGGATACTTCCACATGGCCAACCATGGTTCAAGTCCTGGATCTGGTGGCTTGCTTTCTCACCTTTTCTCTTTCTCTCTATGTATGTCTCTCTCTGGTCAAAATTTTAAAATAAATGAATAAATTTAAAAAAAAAAGACACTTTGAGTACTAGAATACATTATAAACAAATATTTGCTTTCTTCACTTAACAATAATATAATGCACATATATCCAGATCAGTGCATTTCAAGTTCCATTGTAAGATATATTTTGAGATACAATAATTTTTTCCTTTGAAGAGGTTTTTGCTATAGGGCGCATGTGCTCGCCAGACAGAGACAGAAAGCGAGAAATCACCCCCGAGGGGGGATGGCCACACCACAATCCCTTCTCCTCCATTCTCCTCTCGGGATCTTGGACACACACACACATGTGCCTGGCGTGAGTTTTAAGCCACAGGGTCTAGGACGCAAATCGCAGTCGACTACATGGGAGTCCAGCAACGTAGTCATTACGCTAACTGCTTGTCCCCCAAGATATGATAATTTTTTGATCACTCTTCTGTGTCTGGACATTTAAGCTGTCCATATTTTTTCGTTTATAAACAAGTTTCAATAAATATCTATACATGATGCATCATATAGTCAGGTATTATTTTCGTATGGTACAGTTCTAGAACTGAATCTGATAGATAAAAGGCATGTATGCATAAATTTTTTTTTTTTTTTGGAAAAGTTTTTGCTATAGGGTGCACAAGCTCCCCAGAAAGACAGAGAGACAGATAGAAAGTGAGAAATCATCCCCTGGGGGGGATGGCCATGCTACAATCCCTTCTCCTCCATTCTCCTCTTAGGATCTTAGACCTACACACATGCACGCACATGCGCCCGGCATGAGTTTAAGCCACCAGGTCTGAGACTTTAACCATGGTTGACTGCATGAGAGTCCAATGACATAGCCATCACACTATCTGTTGGTCTTGTGTGTATTACATTTTAAAAGTAGGTAGTGGTGGTTAAGGTAGCTGGATCCCACATGGCTGACTGAGTTCAAGTCCTGGAACCGACAGGTACAAAACACACCAGGAGCATGTGTGCACATGTCTAAAATCCTGAAAAGAGAATAGAGGAGAAGGAATTGTAGCATGGTCATTTTCCCAGTATGCTATCTCACTTTCCCTTCCTCTCTTTTGGTGAGTGCACATGCTGTAAAAAAAAGGAAAGAAAGAAGAGGTTTCAGGTAAGAAGAACCCTAAAAAAATACACTTTTTTTTTTTGAGAGGTTTTTGCTATAGTGTGTGTGTGTTCGCCAGAAAGACAGAAAACAGAGACACAGAAAGCGAAAAATCATCCCCCAGGGGGATGGCCACACTACTGCAAATCCCTTCTCCATTCTCCTCTCGGGTTCTTTTTTTGGGGAAATATTAAATAATAATAGTAATAAAATTAAAGAGTTTTATAACATCTGCCCAATTAATAACAATGATATGAAGACAAAACCATACCTCATGCCATCCATTTGGGGTCAATGAAGGAAAAATTAATTTCCTCATACTTAAACATTAGTATTTCTTTCATTCACCAATTATTTAGAAAATATTTGTTGAATGACTGCTTATATGGGTCAGACACTGGGGATATAAACAACTGCATAAATCGGATTTTAGGCAACTTCTATTCTAGTATGACAGATCCTCACACCCCCCCACCCCCCCAAAAATCGTGTGCCTGTGTATATAAGAGAGGACTGCAATGAAGAGCACTTAAAGAAGAAAGAACAATGTGGTAGTATGAGAAAACATTTCTGAGGAGGAGATATTTGAGTACAGACATAAAGAAAGGAGAAAGTGGGGCTGGCAGGTGGCGTGGTGGTTAGAGGCGCTGGACTCCCACGTGGTTGACCATGGTTTGAGTCCCGGACCTGGTAGCTTGCTTTCTCACTTTCCTCTCTCATGTGTGCTCTCTCACTCTCTCACTCTGCCCCTCTCTGGTCAAATAAAATAAACAAACAAACAAATAAACAAATAAAGCTAGATAAAATAATTAAAAAAAAAAAACCAAGGAGAAAGTAAGCCATGTATATATCTGAGGAACAGTGATTCAGGCAGAGGGAATTATAAGTCCTGAGACTGGAATGCTTCTGTTTAATAGAGATTTAAAAACTTTATTCATCATTCAAACGTACCTCCCTGACAAGGTCCTGCTCCAAGTTATGACGCCCAAGTAACATTCTTCTCTTAAAGCGACGGCATTCCAGCTCTAGGTATTGTCTCTGACGTCGAAGAAGATTAGCTTCTTCTTCTGCTTGGAAATGCTGTATGTTTTCTTTTTGCTTTGAAAGCCACTCCTGCTTTTCTTTTTTTGGAGTGCTCTGGTTTTCATTCAGCTCCTGGCAATGTAAAAAGTAGTTCAGTTCAAAACCTATAAAAATTAACTACATGAATGTGTTATTTGGTGCTGGTAAATTTAAGTACAGGTACTAAATTGTATTTCCTCACTCATGCTCAGGCAAGGAAATGACTATGAGAATGTATTATTTTCTTCTTTTTTGAGTTATCCATGAAATACAACAGGAAAAAGAGATATTTACATGATAAAACACATATACTTTTTACCTTTGCTAGCTACATTTCTGATAGTTCCTAGCTTCAAAACAACATAGGGCCAGATGGTGATGGGGTGGTTAAGGCTCTGGACTCCCACATGGCCAACTGCAGTTTGAGCCCCAAACCCAGTGGTGTGAAAATTATGCCAGGCACATGTTGTGTGCATGTATGCCCCAAATCGCAAGAGAAGGAAGAAGAGATTGAGGCATGGCAATCCCCACTTAGGGAGTAATTTCTCATTTTCCCTCTTTATGTCTCTGGGAATGCATGAGCCTAATGGCAAAAACCAAAAGCAAAAGCAACGAACAAAAAAGCAACACATCCTTGAAAACTTTCTGAAGAAGAGACAGAAGGCATTGCTTTAGGTAAAAATCACATGTTAATTAAAATAGGACTAAAATACAGTTAACATCTCACTTCTTGACTTTCGACATTCTTTTTCCTTTCAGAGTTTATTTCTCCCATGAAAGAGAGAGAAAAAAAAAAAAAAAAAAAAAACAGAGACAGAGGCAGCACTCTCAATAAGTTTTTGACATTGTGATCTACCCCCAGCTTCAGCCAGATCTGGATCAATGGGCATGTTGGTGCCAGAATACTTAGGGTCTCACATGAACTGGAACATTCCCATGTAGGTCAGACATGCAGAACTTCACATTTTAACACTATACCATCAACCAGTTCCTTGATATTCATTTTTTTCTCCCTTGAAATTCTTCTTCTGTTTTTTTAAGAGAGATTTTTGCTATAGAGTGTGCCCGCTTGCCAGAGGACAGAAAGTGAGAAATCACCCCCAGGAGGATGGTCTTGTCACAATCCCTTCTCCTCTATTCTCCTCTTGGGATTTTGGGCATGCATGTACACGTTCCCTGGCCTGAGTTTTAAGCGGGTCTGGTACTTGAAGAACTGTGGTTGACTACATGGGAGTCCAGTGATGTAACCATTATGGCATCTGCTGGTCCCCCCCCCCCCTTTAAATTTCTTGATGCTAAGCTTTTTTCATTTTTTGGAGAGGCTTTTGCTATCGGGGGCGTGCGCTTGCGAGAAAGACAGAGACAGACAGAGAGACAGAAAGTTAGAAATCACCTCCTGGGGGAATTGCCATGCTGCAGGGATTACAGCATGGCCATCCCCCTGGGAAGTGATTTATCACTTTCTCTCTCTCTCAATCTTTTCCTGTGTCTCCAGTGCGCACATACACCCTATAGCGAAAATCTCCATTAAAAAAAAAATTATCACACAAACTACCTCTATGAAAATGTGTTTATTTGGGGTAAGAAGAAAAAACTAAATCAATGAGGCAAACCCAAGGATGCTAGGAAAGTTATAATGCATTTCTACATAGAAAATTACGGCATGACTTTCCCAAAAACCTATTAATTAATACTAATATATTTCCAAGCTAATCTCTCTCTCTCTCTTTCTTTCAAAAAACTGACCAGAGAAGGACAGAGAGAGAAAGAGAGAGAGAGAGAGAGAGAAAGAGAGAGAGAAAGCAATCTAACAGGTCCGGGACTTGAACCATGCTTGGCCATATAGGAGTCCTACGCCCTTAACCACCATACCACCTGCTGGCCCCATAATTCAGGCTTTCTTTAGACTAAATCCTTCCACCCCTTTGTAAAAATAATAATGAAGTATATCTTAAGGTAGTTTTCTTTATCAATACGTGTGTGTGTGTGTGTTTTGTGTGTGAGTGTGTATATATGTGTGTATATATAATATGTATATATTTTTAAAGAATTATTTTATTTAACTTTATTTATTTATTTTCATTTGACCAGAGAGGGACAGAGAGAGAGAGCGAAGGAAAGTGAAAAAGCAGACTGCCAGGTCTGGGACTCGAACTGTGGTTGGCCATGTGGGAGTCTAGCACCCTTAACCATCATGCCAGCAGGTGTGTATTTTAAGAGATATTTTTGCTATATGGCATGTGCACTCTCTGGAGAGACAGAGAAAAAGTGAGAAATTATCTCCTGGGGGTATGGCCATGCCACAATCCTTTTTCTATTCTCCTCTTGGGATTTTGGATACACACACAGTCATTCCTGGCATTGAGTTTTATGCTACGAGGTCCGAGAATCAAAACAGAGTTGGCTGTGTGGAAGTCTAGCACCTTAACCATTACGCCACCTGCTGGCCCCTACCTACATATTTAAATATGATGCTCTGAGCAATCTAGTCTACCTGTCTTCCTATCAATCAACCAGTCAAAGATAAAAAGACAAGGTCTTCTGTTGCGATCCTGCTACTTTAGCCTCCCAGCTGGGACTACACAAATATACCACCATGACCAGCTCTTTTTCTTTACACAGGTCTGACTATGTCACCCAGGCTATCCTTGAGTTCCTCCAGCCTTAGCATCACCAAGCAGCTAAGATTACAGGCCCATATCACTGTGCCCAGCCTTAAATTCACATTTAAAAGAAGTCCAAAGAGTAGCAAAAAAGGGCAAATAAATATGAAACTATGTAGTCATAAAGAAATAATCAGGAGACCAGTAGTTAGTGTAATGGCTATGTCACTGGACTCCCCTATAGTCGACTGCAGTTCGAGTCCCAGACCCAGTGGCTTAAACTCACGCCGGGCACGTATGCGTGCATGCTCAAGATCCCAAGAGGAGAATGGAGGAGAAGGGATTGTGGCGTGGCCATCCCCCCTGGGGGGTGATTTCTCACTTTCTGTCTGTCTCTCTCTGTCTTTCTGGTGAGTGCACATGCCGTATAGCAAAAACCTCTCCAAAAAAACAAAGAAAAAAGAAATAATCAGTATATTCTCCTATTAAAAAAATGTGGGGCCAGCCAGTGGTGTGGTGGGTAAGGTGGCTAGATCCCTCATGGTCGACTGTGCTGTTTGAGTCCCAGACCCTGTGGCTTGAAGAATGGAGAAGGTGTGGTCATCCTCCCTGCGGATGCTTTCTCCCCTCCCCGCGGATGCTTTCTCCCCTCCCCACACAAGTGCATACATCCTATAGCAAATTTCAAAACATAAAGAAACGTGTGTGTAAATTTTTCTTTTTTTTTAGTTTGCTATAGAATGTATACACTCACCGAAATGACACAGAAGGAAAGGAAGTGAGAAAGCAACCCCAGGGGGGTATGCCCATGCCAATCCCTTCTCCTTCACTCTCTTAGGATTTGGGGCACCCATGCACATGTGTCTGTCATGTTTTCTAAGTCTCCGGGTCCAGGACTCTGACCATGCAGTCAACCATGTAGAAGTCATTTGCCTCAACCAACATGCCATCTGGCTGGCCCCAGAAATGTGTGTTTTTCTCATATGGCTCAAATGTATTTATTTCTGTTCATTTTCTTTTGTCTCTCTTTTTTTTTAAAAAAAAAAACAATTATTTATTTATCAAATCTATTTATTGTTATTGTTTTTTAGTTCGACCACACAGAGACAGAGAAAGGAAAAATGAGAAAGCAAGCTACCAAGTTGAGGACTTGAACTGGGGTGGCCATGTGGGAATCTAGTGCCTTTAGTCACCATGCCACCTGTCAGCCCCCTATTTCTGTTTCTAATGAATAAGTCACTTTAAAATTATAAAGCAGGGCAAGCAGGTAGTGCAGTAGTTAAGACACTGAACACTCCCATGTGGCTGACCACGGTTTGAGTCCCAGGTCTGGTGGTTTGCTTTCTTACTTTCCTTCTCTCTGTCTCTCTCTCTCTCTGGTCAAATTAAAATAAATGAATGAACAAATAAAATTAAATAAAATAATTCTTAAAAAAAATACTTAGAAAGGGGAGGTTTTTTTTTTTTTTTTAAAGTTTATTTATTTATTTTATTTTGACCAGAGAGGGGGGAGAAAGGAGGTTTTCTTGCTACAGGGTGTGTGCACTCGTCAGAAAGACAGAGGGAGACAGAGAGATAGAAAGCGAGAAATCCCCTGGGGGGATGGCCACGTCGCAATCCCTTTTCCTCCATTTTCCTCTCGAGATCTTGGGCATGCACGCACACGCGCCTGGTGTGAGTTTAAGTGACCGGGTCCAGGACTTGAATTGTGGTCAACTACATGGGAGTCCAGCAACAGAGCCATTACGCTAACTGCTGGTCCCACTTAGGTGCCTTCTTTTAAACTGATATATTTAGTGGCCATAAACAAAAGAAAAATTTATTGTACTAGTTCCATCAGGTGATCACCATAGATAAGATAAATAAGCAGGTAACTGGCTTGAAAATTTTTATAAATTAAGTACCTCCTTAAGCTGCTCTTTTCGAAGTTTATATTCTCTTTTCTGGGACTCCAAAAAACTATTCAGTTCTTTTTTCTGTTGGGCCTGAATATGTTGCTGAAATTTTTTTTCCTCATTAGCCATCACTTTAGCCTACATGAAATTTAAAAATGAATTAAATTAGTTAATCAGACAGATTCAAAGCAGCAGTTTAATATACATCACAAAGAATACATTTTTTTTTATAGAACAAAAATATCAGTAGAAGCGTTATAAAATCAAAGACCTAACCAAATTATTAACAAGTGTTATTTAACACTCTTTTTTGGACTCTGGAGAAGTAGTAAAGTGAAAATAATATTTAGAAGGTTGATCTCTTAAGGGATCAAAATGTTTTTCATCTTTTTTGTTTTCAGTTCAAAGTATAACCCTTCCACCCCCCAAAAAAACAAAATACATATTTATCCTCAAGTGTAATAAAACCATAATCTTTACCTAGAGTAATATATATCAAATAATAGAATATGTTCAGTCTTAAATTAAACTTTCATCTCTAATTTATATATTAAGTACTATGAGAATGATAAATAATATAAGTATCATACTATTATACTTCAGATTATATACATAATATGTATTCACTGCAGAATATTTTAAAAATACAGAGAAAAAAACAAAAAAAATCTTCTATGATAACTGATTTTAGCACCCAAAGATACCAATTTTGGTAAATACATACATACATGTGTATGTATATATAAATACACACATACATTGTGTGTATGTGTATATATATGTGTACACACAAATATGTATGGATTTATACACACACATACATCCACATATATATTTTAAAACAAGTTTATAATCATACTATACATCCTGTTTCATGAACTACTTTCCCGAATATGTTAGTATCTATATTTTCTCAAGCTATTAAAAATACTACCCAACACTGGGACCAGCAGTTAGCATAATGGCTATGTCGCTGGACTCCCATGTAGTCGACCGTGGTTCGCATCCCGGACCCAGTGGCTTAAAAAAACTCACGCTGGGTGCGTGTGCGTATGTACCCAAGATCCCGAGAGGAGAATGGAGGAGAAGGGATTGCGGCGTGGCCATTTCCCCTGGAGGGTGATTTCTCGCTTTCTGTCTGTCTGTCTCTCTCTGTCTATCTGGTGAGTGCACATGCCCTATAGCGAAAACCTCTAAAAAAAAAGAAATACTACCCAACACCAACGGGATTATAAATACCTCAATACTGATTAATCAAATTATTTCAAAATCAATTATTTATTTATATCATTCATTCTTTTGCCAAATTTCCTCCAACTACGAGAGTGGTTTTATTTAGAGGGTAGAAAAGGGAGAACAGGGTAGGTATTTAATGTGTGTAGACTACCAAGACATATTTTGATGAAATATTGGACTTTTATTGAGAATCTTTCATTCTACTTAACAAACATGATCATCAAAATAAAAGGAAACAGGAGGCATGGCATCGGGTCGCAGGTGGTTAAGGTGCTAGACTCCCACAAGGCTGACCATGGTTTAAGTCCCAGACCTGGTGGCTTGAAAATCATGATAGGTACCTGTGCATGCATGCTCGAAATCCCAAGTGGAGAACAGAAGGGGAAGGATTGAGGTTTGGCCTACCCCTTTTGGGAGGGTGGGGTGATTTCTCACTTTCTCTCTCTCCAGTGAGAATACATCCCCTATGGCAAACAAAAAACAACAACAAAAAAAAAAACAACAAAAAACCACACAACAATAAAAAAGAAACTGATGGGACACCAAAAACATGAGGCCGGCAGGTGGTGTAGTGGTTAAGGGCACTGGACTCTCACATGGCCGAATGCAGTTCAAGTCCTGGAGTTCCAGACCTAGTAGCTTGCTTTCTTACTTTCTGTCTCTCTCCTCTCCCACTCTGTTCCTCTCTGGTCAAATTGAAATAAATAAATAAAGTTAAATAAAACAATTCTTAAGACAAAACAAAAAAGCGTCAGCAGAGGGACAGCCTGTGGTGTGGTAGTTAAGGCAGTTTGATCCCCCTCACTGCAAAGTGAGTCCCAGATAGGTGGCTTGAGAAATATGCCAGGTATATGCACATATGCGCTCAAAATCCTAAACAGAGGGAGAAATAGAGGAGAAAGGATTGTGGTGTAACCATCCCCCTTAGAGGATGCTTACTCACTTTCCTTGTCTCTCTCTGGCAAGAAAATGTGTACTCTAGCAAATTTAAAAAAAAAGAAAAGAAAAAAAAGAAGAGGTTCCATGCAATAAGAACCCTAAAAAAATACACTTTTTTTTTTTTTGAGAGGTTTTTGCTATAGAATGTGTGCGCTCGCCAGAAAGACAGAAAACAGAGACACAGAAAACGAAAAATCATCCCCCATGGGGATGGCCACATGACCCGCAATCCCTTCTTCTCCATTCTTCTCTCAGGTCTTTTCTTTTTTTTTTTTTTGAGAGGTTTTTGCTATAGGGTGCCTTTTTTTGCTATAGGGCATGTACGCTCTCCAGGAAGACAGAGAGAGACAGAGAGACAGAAAGCGAGAAATCACCCCCAGGGGAGGATGGCCACTCCATAATCCTTTCTCCTCCATTCTCCACTCAGGATCTTGGGCATGCACGCACATGCGTCCGGTGTGAGTTTAAGCCACTGGGTCCAGGACTTGAACTGCAGTTGACTACATGGGAGTCCAGCGACATAGCCATTATGCCAACTGCTGGATCCCAAAATACACCTTTTTAATACAGTATAATAATGATAATTATCTGCAAATAATCAAATAGGCTATATCAATTTGAGCCTCTCATAATTTGTTCATTTTTATTTTACTGTAGTTTTTTATTTTTTGGAGAGGTTTCTGCTAAAAGGCATGTGCACTTGCCAGAGAGACAAAAAGCAAGAAATCCTCCCCCAGGGGGAATGGCCATGCCACAATCCCTTCTCCTCCATTCTCCTCCTGGGATCTTGGGTGCGCATGCACTGGGTGTGAGTTTAAGCCACCAGGTCTGGGACTTGAACTGCAGCCAACTATATGGGAATCCAGTGACATAGCCATTATGCCAACTGCTGGTTCCATTTTATTTATAGTTTTTATTATAGGGTATGTGCACTCGCCAGAGATAGAGAGAAGGAAGGTGAGAAATCACCCCCGGGGGAATGGCCAGGCTGCAATCCATTCTCTGTTTTCCTCTCAGGATTTGGGCTCAATGGCACACGCACCTGGTGTGATTTTCAAGCCACTGTGCTCGGGATTTAAACGAAGGTCAGCCATGTAGGAGTCCACTGCCTTAACTGCCATGCCACTTGCTAGCCCTTGAGCCTCTCATAATTTTTAACTGCCATTATTTCATTATATTATAATAATTTCAATTAAACTATGCTATAAAAAATGTTATAGGCAGGTGGCATGGAGGTTAAGGCAGCTGGATCCCACACGGTTGACTTCACAGGTCAAGTACCAGATCCGATGGGTTCAAAATCCTACCAGATACATGTGAGTGTGTGCCCAAAACCCCAAGAGGAGAATGGAGCAGGGGGACTGTTGTATGGGCATCCCTGCTAGGGGGTGATTTCTCATTTTCTCTCTCTCTTTCTTGCACTTGCCCTATAGCAAAAACTAGAAGTATTGCTATAAACCTAAGAAAGGCTTCCCAAAATTCAGAGAATCATAAGTAATTTTTTTGAGACCAAAATCATCAATAGCTAGGAAATTCTCAGATAATCAGGGTAACAAAAGTTTAGAATGGGAGAGAGTATTACCAACTATGATACTATAAACTATCAGGAAAAGATTCTATGTCTATTTGTTCCCAGATTTACTTAGTAATTAATGTTAAAACACGCTGGTATTTATGTTCACAATTTGGTTGGTTATCACAATAACTACATGATGAATTTCTCCAATAAGTAAATAATTTAAAAAATTGTTTTAAATGAATGCACAAAATTAGTAAGAAAAATTCAGAGGCCATCTTTTTGTGATTATCTGTTATGAATTTACAGAAAGCCTTACATGAGTTACATAAATGCTTCTCCCTCTCTCCCATCAGCATACTTGGATCCTGGAAACACATATCCTAACATAAAAATGTCAGATTGGTTAATTGAGACGGTCACAAGGTAAAACAAGCAAATTAAATAAACTGAACCAGCCACCTCTTTTTCCATAGCAGCCTGGTGTTTCTTGATAAGTTTCTCCATTTCTGCAGCAAAATTATTACGCTGAGTTTCAAGATCTTTGTCTAATCTGAGGCGGTGTTCATCCATCTCAGCCTTTAGTTTATTTTCTAATGTCATTAGTTGCTTTTGATGCTGCCTTCTCATTCGCTTATAGCCAGACATCTGTTCTCTGAGCTCAGAGTCCTGCTCATGTTCTTGCATTTGCCTTGTTACCTAGACATACAAACAATGAAAAGAAAAGAAGAAAAGAAAGCCAAACATTTTTCTGTGAAAGCATTTTAGACCATTTTACTATTCACTAAGTAATTAGTGTAAGAAATCTCAATTTTAGGAGCTTCCAATTAAATTTCTAGCCTATCTTTTAAAAAATAGACAAACTAGTTCTAAAATGTATATGAAAATGCAAATAACGTAGAACAGCTAATATAATTTCTCTCACACTCTCTTTTTGTCATAGGGTGTAGGTGCTTGCCAGAGAGAGACAGAGAGAGGGAGAGTGAAAAAATATCCCCTGGGGGATAGTCATGCAGCAATCCCATCTCCTCCTGTCTCCTCTTGGGACTTTTGGCATGCAGGCTATTCACCCACTCAGTGTGATTTTCAAGCTGCCAGATCTGGGACTCGAATTGTGGTCAGCCATATGGAATCTAGTGTCTTAACTACCAAGCCACTTGCTGGCTCCTAGTCAAAACAATCTTGAGGGGAAAAAAAGGTTGAAGAACAGTAATCAAAACAATGTGTTATTAGTGACAGATATGCTTAAGAAATCAAGAGAACTGAATAAAACTAGAAACAGATCCACACATGTTCAACTGATTTTCTATCAGAGTCAAGTTAGGGACCAGCAGATGGTATAGTGGTTATGTTGCTACACTCCCACATGGCTGACCACAGTTTGAGTCCCACACCTGGCGGCTTGAAATTCCCACGAAGTGCACGTGTGTGTGCTTGCCCAAAATCCCAAGAGAAGACTGGAGAAGAGGGGACTGTGGCATGGCCATCACCCCTGTAGGGTGATTTTGTTTCTCTGTCTCTCTGGTGAGTAAACATGCACTATAGCAAAAATTCTCTCTCTCAAAAAAAAATCAAGCTGGGGCCGGCAAGTGGCATGGTGGTTAAGGGCGCTGGACTCCCACATGGCCGACCACGGTTCAAGTCGGACCTGGTAGCTTGCTTTCTCACTTCCTCTCTCTCTCTCTGTCTCTCTCTGATCAAATTGGAAAATAATAATAATAATAATAATGATAAATAAAGTTAAATAAAATAATTCTTTAAAAAAAAAAAAAAGTCAAGTTAATTCAGAGGAAAGGCAAGTGACTTTAACAAATCCTGCCAAAACAACTGATTCTCTGTATAGTAAAAAATATCACTTACTCCATATACAAAATTAACTTGAGAAGGATTATTTGACCTAAAACATAAAACCTAGAACCATAAGACAGAAACAGCAAACACTTAATCCTCATTACCTTGGGGTAGGCAAATATTTGTTAGGGCATAAAAAAACAATGGCCATAAAGAAAAACATATATAAACTCAATTTTTAAATAATAATTTTGATTTATGTTTTTTTTTTTTTTTTTTTAATTTGACCAGAGAGGGACAAAGCGAGAGAGTGAGAGAGAAAGAAAGTGAGAAAGCAAGCTGCCAGGTCCAGGACTTGAACTGTGGTCAGTCATGTGGGAGTCCAGCAGCCTTAACTACCATGCTACCTGCCTGTCCCTTCATTTTTTTTTTTTTAAGAGAATCTTGCCACAGGGCACATGCACTAGTCAGAGATACAGTGAGAAATCATACCCTGGGGGATGCCATGCTGCAATCCCCTCTCGAGATTTTGGGCACGCATATACACATGCCCAGCATGAGTTTCAAGCCTTCGGGTATGGGACTTGAACCATGGTTGACCACGTGGGAGTCCAGTGACTTAACCACTACACTATCTGTTGGTCACTTAAAGATATTAATTTAACATTTCTCAAAATGCTTTGCATAGTATTTTTCCTCATATCAAGTATTCAAATGCTGAATGAATACTTTATAAAATAAAGCCCAAATATTAAATAAGATATAGTTATACTTAAATCTATAATGCCAAGGGCCCCCATGAAAAATGTTTCTCTCTAATTCAGGAAAAGTACATACCAGTGATGCTGTCCGTATTGTAGCAAAGTGTTCTCGATTACGATAGTGTGATTTGTGACGAGATACTTGGGGAGGAGATTGTGGATCTGATGCTCTTGTTCTAGGCTCTCCCTCTTCTCTGTAATTTTCTTCCTCCTAGGCAAAGAAAAAAAATATTATGTAAGGTGTACAAACGCAGTTTGTTTCAACCTACAAGGAAATTAAAGTTTAAAAACGTGATCAATAAATCTTAGAAATGTGTAATGTTAAAAAGAAACAACGATGGGGCCAGCAGGTAGTGTGGTAGTTAAGGTGCTTGACTCCCACGTGCTGGACTGCAGTTCAAGTCCCCAGACCCAGTGGCTTGAAAATCACATGGGGCACATGCACAAAATCCCAAGAGGAGAAAGAAGAAGAAAGACTGTGGCATGGCCATCACCCCTGGGGGATGATTTCTCACTTTTCTTCTCTCTTTCTCTCTCCGGCATGTGTACACACACTATGGCAAAAACCTAAAACAAACAAAAAAACCCACCAATAAGAACAACAAGAAAGATGACATTTTATTTTCAACATAAATAGAATTAGAAGAAATTATTTCCCCAGTGTGAAAAATATCACATAGATTCAAGAAAAGGAAATGTCTATGGTTCAATTTATATCCTACTCATTATAGGCAAAACTGAAAGCATTAACATAACCTTAAAACAAATTGATTTAAAAAAAATGTAGCCAGGGGCCGGCAGGTGGTGTGGTGGTTAAGGGTGACTAAGGCTAGACTCCAACATGGCCAACTGAGGTTCGAATCCTGAACCTGATGGCTTGCTTTCTCACTTTCTCTCACTCTCTCATTCTGTCTCACTCTGGTCAAATTGAAATAAATGGGTAAATAAAGTTAATAATAAAAATATGAAAAAAAATGTAGCCACTATTCTAACAAAAAAAAAAAAAAAAAAAAATTTTAGCCACTATTCTAAATAACAGCAATAAAAAATTAATCAAAGACTCTAGTTTAAGAAGCAATGTAGTATAAAACTAAATACTTCTGTCCTTTATCCAAAATACATAAGCAAAAAATAGTTTTAAGAAATTGAATAACTAGGGAACCAGCAGATGACATAATGGTTATAACACTGGACTCCCAAACAGTCAGTCATAGTTTGAGTCCTGGACCCGGTGGCTTAAAATTCATGCTGGGCCATGTGCATGTGTGCCCAAAATCCTGAGAGAACGGAAGAAAAGGAATTGCAGTGTGGACATCCCCCTGGAGGGTGATTTCTCACTTTCTGTCTTTGTCTCTCTGGGTTATATCCTATAGCAAAAATTTCTCAAAAAAAAAAAAAAAAAAAAGGAGCAACCACCGCCAAGCTGGGCACCGGGGAGATGGCCAAGACTGACCCCAAGATCATGCAGGACCTGACCTCTGTGGTGCAGACTCTCTTGCAACAGATGCAAGATAAATTTCAGACCATGTCCAACCAGATCATTGGAAGAATTGATGATATGAGTAGTCGCATTGATGATCTGCAGAAAAACATCGCCGACCTCATGACAGGCTGGCGTGGAAGAGCTAGAAGGTGAAAACAAGATACCTGCCACACAGAGAGTTGAAGGTTGCTAATAATTAACACCAAAATCTGGAACACCAAGAGGAGACCAGCTGGCTTTCTGAGCTAACCTCTACGTGTAGACAGGTTTTATATTCTAAGTGTGCGTTCTTAACCATATGAGTTTAAAGAGTGACTACCCCCAGTGTCTTGAACATGTTATCTTCACATTTCAGGCCTTGGTCAGTTGTGCTACTAATTATTAAACACTAAAACTTTGGCAGTTCCTGCATAAGATTGTCAAAAAAAAAAAAAAAAAGAAAAAGAAAAAGAAAAGAAAAAAAAAGAAATCAAAGAACTAGTATCTTTCTTTGCATACCTCAGTTTACTAACTGAAGAGGAAGTCAGTTAAGTAACAACCAACTAATTCTGGTCATTATCTTCTTTTATGATTTGATTCCCATGCCTAATATAAAAAGTAAACATGATTTTGCTTAGAATAATACCATGACTTACCTGAACCATATCTAATAGCTTGTGTGTTAAAGTCTTTATGTAGAAGAATGGAGGAGGCATGGGCAGGGCATTATATAAAACAAAAAATCTGCCATCTTAAGTATTTTAAGTGGTATTAAATATATTTGCAATTGTGTGCCGCTATTATTTCCAAAGCTTTTTTATCTCCCCAAATATAAACTCTGTATCCATTAGCAATAACTTCCCATTTTACTTTCTGGCCAGTTCCACTAATCTCTAATCTACTTTCTGTAGCTATAGATTTGTCTATTTTAGATATTTTGTGTATTTAATTATATTTGTCTTTCTGCATCTGGCTTATATCACTTAGCATGTTTTTGAGAGTCATTCATATTACAGCATATATCAGAACTTCATTCCTTTATATACCTGAATATTATCCCACTGGATGTATGTATCACAATCTGTTTATCCATTCATCTGTTAATGTACATTTTAGTTATTTGTACATTTTAGCCACTATGCCTATTAACTTAAGTAATATGCAAACTGTCAAGTTTAAAAGAAAGCATTCTTTTTTTTTTTTTTTTGAGAGGTTTTTGCTATAGGGCGTGTGCGCTCGCCAGACAGACGGAGAGAGACAGAGAGACAGAAAGCAGGAAATCACCCCCCAGGGGGGGTGGCCACACCGCAATCCCTTCTCCTCCATTCTCCTATCGGGATCTTGGGCATGCACGCACACGTGCCCGGCGTGAGTTTAAGCCACCGGGTCCGGGACTCGAACCGCGGTCGACTACGTGGGAGTCCAGCAACATAGCCATTACGCTAACTGCTGGTCCCTAAAAGAAAGCATTCTTACTAATTGCTAAGAGGAGTTACCTGACTTTCTAATATTTTTGAGAAAAATTTAAATTCTGTACTAAAAAATGCAAAGAATAATGTAAAAAGCACCCGCATTTCTTAAATATAGAAATTATAATTTAAAAAATTATATTTGCTGTCAATTTAAAGATATATCAATTATGGATAATTAAGTCACTTTTCATCGTTACCTATCTCAACCTTTTCTCTCATTTATTGAAGGAATCCATAATCATGAATTTCTTTTTTTTTTTTTTGAGAGGTTTTTGCTATAGGGCGCGTGCGCTTGCCAGACAGACAGAGAGAGACATAGAGACAGAAAGCGAGAAATCATCCCCCAGAGGGGATGGTCATGCCGCAATCCCTTCTCCTCCATTCTCCTCTCGGGATCTTGGGCACATGCGCACATGCGCCCGGCATGAGTTTTAAGCCACCAGGTCCAGGACGCGAACCGTGGTCGACTACGTGGGAGTCCAGCGACATAGCCATTATGCTAACTGCTGGTTCCCCATAATCATGAATTTCATGTGTATCTTTCACAATATTTAATATTTCACTTTCTAAGAAGTAACTCCAAAAAATAAATTACATAGCATTCTGTACTTTTTCCTGCTAAGGTAGTTTTTTTTTTGGTTGTTTATTTTTTGGAGAGGTTTTCGCTATAGGGCATGTGCACTTGCCAGACAGACAGAGAGAGACATAGAGACAGAAAGCGAGAAATCACCCCCTGGGGGGATGGTCACGCCGCAATCCCTTCTCCTCCTCCATTCTCCTCTCGGGATCTTGGGCATGCACGCACACGCACCCGGCGTGAGTTTTAAGCCACCAGGTCCAGGACACAAACCGCGGTTGACTTCGTGGGAGTCCAGCAACATAGCCATTACGCTAACTGCTGGTTCTCATTGCTTTTTTTTTAATAGAGACTTTTGGTATACAGAGCATGCGCTCACCAGAGAGACAGAAAATGAGAAACCCCCCACACCCTCCCGGGGAAGGCCATGCTGGAATTCCTTCTCCTTCATTCTCCTCTTGGGATTTTTGGTGCACAAATGCATGTTCCTGGTGTGTTTTAAGCCACTGGGTCTGTGTTTCAAGCCACGTGGGAGTCCAGTGACAAAATCATTATGCCATCTGCTGGTGTCCCTGCTAAGATTTTTAAATAGTTACACTTTTTTAATTCTCCAAACATTGTTTCTCCTAATACAGATAAAAGATTAATACTTGACAAAGACTACTGGCCATGTTAAAAAAATGTTCCAAAGTTATGAAACTTCAAAGAAATTCTTCTTTGCTTAAACTAATCAAGTGAAGAAAATCATTTACAAAAGGTAAAATTTTTTTCACTGAAATCCAAATACTTACAGGTTTCAAATGGATGACGGAACTGTTAGACATCACTGTATGGTCTCCCTCCATCATGTCTAGCTCACTCTTGTCATCTGAGGCATCTGGAAGACTGTTAACACTACTACTTTGGCTACTGGCACTGATGGACATACTGGGAATAGACTGATTACTTCCAACACTATTCACTGTTCCTGTTCGTCCAACACCATGATCTTGTTCCTAAAGAAAAAGAACATTAGACTCAAATATCTGTGTCTCTTCTCAATTCTTAATTATGATTCTGGCACACAGCTTGGCATAAGTCATTAGAAAATTAGAGGTGTATCATGAGAAATTCCCTTCATTAGTCAACACTAGAAAGTTTATTAACTGTTAGTAAACAAAAAAACAAACAAAAGTAACCAACAAATAACTAATGAAAAACTGTGTAAAGACAGTTGATCAGTTTTGGATGATTTCCAAAGTGTAATATTTGAAAATCATTTCTATAACACATTTCATGGGGCATAAACAGAGATTCTGCTCATTTTTCAATGATTCTCATAGTTAACACAAATACCTCTTTCTTAAATGCTATAAATACCATTTTTAGCTATTCTTCTTTTATTGAAGACTTTTACACATATATTCTTCTTTCTTCTTGAAAATATAGTCTCAGGATTATCTTTCTATCACTGAATAATTTAGTATTAGTTTCTATCTATTCTTCTATAAACCAAGAAGTACGTATTACATATATACTCAACCATAGGCAAAAGAATGTTTTGCAGAAGTAACCCAGCAGCCAGGGTACCTAGGTAACAACATTCTGATTCTTACCTTATCTGAATTCTATAGGTATGTAAAATGGAAAAAATACAGATACATGGTATATGTATAGAGGGGATTTTCTTATAGCCCCAGCCTAACAAAGATGTTGTTAAAGATTTAATATATAGAATTTTATTTTTATTAATCTTACACCTTTAAGTATGTCATATATTTAAAATAGTCCCAAACTACTTTTTAGTTACTAGCATAAGAGGGCTAGCCACTGGTGTAGTGGTTAATGTAGCTGGATCTCACATCACTGACTGAGTGATTCAAGTCCTGGGCATGGTGGGTTGTAAAATACACCAGATATGTGTCTCTCTGTTTCTCTCTGGATAGTGCACAAGCTCTATGGCAAAAAACAAAACAAAACAAAACAAAACAAAACAAACAAACAAAGAATTAAACAACAGGGGTCAGATGGTGATACAGAAATAACCTGACAGGTTATGAGAAAAGCCCTGGGTTTATGTCCCAGGACCTAACTGGGCATGTTGGTCATATGCCTATGACCCACGTCAGCTGAGACGGGTGGGGTGATGTGGTGTGAGGATCCTCTTGGATGTGCCTCTCTCTCATTGAAGAAATAAATGTATAAAAGTCAAAAGAAAATTTAAAAACAACCAAAAACTATAAGAAATTGTTATATTTTATAGACCACTAATTATTAAGTGTTATTAAAAAGTAAAACACGGGACCAGCAGTTGGTGTAATGTCTATGTTGCTGGACTCCCATGTAGTAGACTGCGGTTCGAGTCCCAGACCCAGTGGCTTAAACTCACGCCAGACACGTGTGCATGCGTGCCCAAGATCCCAAGAGGAGATGGGAATGCGGCATGGCCATCCCCCTTGGGGGATGATTTCTTGCTTTCTGTCCTTCTGTCTCTCTCTGTCTTTTTGGTGAGTGCACGCGCCCTATAGCAAAAACCTCTCAAAAAATAAAATTAAATTAAAAATTTTAAAACTTAAAAAGTAAAAGCAAGGGAGATGCTGGACTCTCACATGGTCAACTGCAGTTTGAGTTCTGGACCCAACAGCCTGATACTCACACTGGGCACGTGTGCGTGTGTGCCCAAAATCTCAAGAGGAGAATGGAGGAGAAAAAACGGCAGCATGGCTATACCCCTCCGGAGAGTGATTTCTCACTTTCTCTCTTTTGTCTGTTTCTCCAGCAAGCGCATGTGCCCTGCAGTAAAAATCTCTCTTAAAAAAAGTAAGTACTGTTTATGGTTTCAGAATGCAAATCTGAATCTCTCCCTAGAAAGCAATAGAAAAAATTAAAAGATTTGGAAGTCTGATCTTTTAAAACTATTTTGTTATAGGATATGTGCACTTGCCAGAGGAAGACAGACAGAAAGTAAAAAATCACTTCCTGGGGAGACAGCCATAATCCTCTCTATTCTCTTCCTGGGACCCTGGATGTATACGCACAACACCAAGGATGTTTCCACCAGTCTGGGACTCTAACCACAGAGTCCACCAGGTGGGATTCATTGCCTTAACCATCACGCCATTTGCTGGCCCCAGGAATGCTGACTTTTAGAGAAAAA